ATAATAGTCATTTAATAATAATCTTCAATTTTTATGATAAAAAACAGGTGAAAGGCGTAATATCAAAAAAGTACAGATAAGTAAAACTTCTTTATTTATATACGTAATATTTAAAACTTGCAATTGCGCAGACATTTTTACACTTAATGTCCCTTGATACTCTTATATTTTAAATATTTTTTATCCTTCCTTAGCCATTATCACTATTCTTCTTTTGTTTGTTTAAGGATATTATATACTGAATACGACATCTTAAGAAGCTAAAGAATATACCAATATTTACTTAACATTTTTTAACTCAATTGTTTCTTAATAAGCTGGTGGCACAAGACGCTTGTTTTTCCACTGAATTCTTAGCTAAATTAAATTCTTGCTATTTTATTGGCTGCAATACTAACAGTATCAGCATCGCAGACAATACGATGGCAAGAATTTAATCCATCCAGCAATTCAACAAGAAAACAAGTACCATGTGCCGCGCAACTTCTCAATATATATTATAATAATTCTAAAAAATTTATCTCTAACCTTTACGAATGAATCTACATTCACCGTAAGAATATGGGCACTAGAAAATTCGATTGGTATCAGAGAGCGATTCATAATCATTATAAGATTTTCTCTTACTTTTTGATGTGCTGTTATCCAATCCATTCCAAAAATTTCATCGGAAAATTGAATGCTCTACAATAGAAGTTGTCAGAAAAATATAGTTACATATGTAATATTTCTTATTGCAACAATAAGTAATATTTAATGTATTATATATCAATATAAATGTTAAATTTAAATTAAAAATTATGTTTCTTATTCTACTATTGATGTGATGCTGGAATTTTGTTATTAACATTTTTTTATAGATCAAACGCATTCGATATATGTACACAAAATCAATACCTTTAATTTCACTTCGTTCCCGTACCAACAATAAATAAGAATTTGCGAACACATACAGATTGTGTATAACATCAGTGGAATATATTTTGGGCTCAATGTGGTTTTCGCCAAACGATAAAGATTGGAACATACCACTAGCATACTTGCGATAAATTGAACGGCAATTATAATTCTGAACTTTTCATTCATCGTGTATGCAAATCTAGAAAAAAAGAGTAATATTACCCTTGAAATGATTATTATTGCTCATAACTAATTAAATATTACAATATTTTGAATTGAATTAAACAATTGTTATCTAATTAATAAACAAAATTTAACATTTAAACACGCATAATTACAAATAAAATATAAATAAAGTTCTGTGT